AAAAAAATATGCAGTATTTAATGAACATTTGTGTTAAAATTATAACAAAAATCTGGTTTTAGGACTTACAAAAAAACACACGTTGGAAATAAAAAACAAAATTAAATATTACAAACCCATTACCCATCAAACAAGTTAAAGTTGTGGAAGAGGTTAATATGTTACACTTATTTGCAATGAAAAATAAATAATTTTCATTTGCATAGAAATAACACATAAATGGATTTATCATAGTATTGTAAGAAATATAGGATTATCAATATTTTATAAATTGACTAATAATTAATAATTTTATGGTTTGATATGATAGTTCGTTGGAAAACTACTCATCCAAATGAATTAACCATCGCTTATAAACTATTCGCCTCTGCCGCTTTGCGCGGGTAATGTCTAGTATATATATAAGAATACTTAACCTTGTTAAGCTTTAGATTGTTCCAATATGGAAACTTTAGGGTTGCTAACATACCCTTGGGTTGTGGTCTACCGAACATAGTTTTGTGTTTAGACTTAAGGTTCAACTTTGGCACTTTACCTCTTAGTTGGTTCATTCACATATCAATGTGATCATTCAATAAAAGCTAAGGTACACTAATTGTTTTAGGGGATCTATTAAGTCGCGAATCTAGTTCAACTTGTAACTCTAGAGTCAAGTTAAGTACACACAAGGAAATGAAGAGGTTCTAGATGAGTACTGACTTGAGTTTTGGCGGATGTCACAATCTCCCCCAATTGTGGGAATTTTGTCCCAAAATTCAATTGGAAGTAATACTGGTTTAGACATAGCGAATAGTTGAGGATATTTGTTCTTCATGAAATCCTCTCGCTCCTACGTAAACTAGAGCCCATGCTTAGAATTCCAACGAACTTTCACGATCGGTATTTTACTTTGTTTTAATTGCTTAACCTCTCGGTCGAGGATCTCTATGGGTTCCTCCATGAACTTTAGTTAATCATCAATTTAGAGGTCCCTGAGAGGTACGTGTAGGGATACCTCCGCCGAGCACTTTTTGAGGTTCGACACATGGAATGTGTCGTGTATCGCACTCAGTTCATGAGGTATCTTGAGCTTATATGCAACTAGATCGACCCTTTCGATAATCTCGAAGGGTCCTACATAACTGGGACTCAATTTTCCTCATTTACCAAAGCACACGACTCCCTTCCATGGGGATACTTTTAAGAGTACTCTGTCTCCCTTTTGAAATTCCAAGGGTTTCCAACGTTTGTCAGCATAGCTCTTTTGGTAATCGCGAGCAGCTTTCAGTCTATCGCGTATCATAGAGATATTTTTAGTGGTCTCTTGAATTAAATCCGGTCTCGTTAACTTCATATCGCCAATTTCCATCTAACATAGAAGTGAGCGATATTTATGACTGTACAAGGTCTCATAGGGGACATATTGAATGCCCGTATGGTAGCTATTATTATAGGTGAACTCGACTAGCGGCAAATGGTTATCCCAACTTCCTCAAAAGTCGATCACACAAGCCCGAAGCATATCTTCTAACGTCTGAATGGTTCGTTTTCTCTGACCGTCTGTCTGGGGATGGTAGGCGGTACTTAAGTCTAAACGTCTCTCTAATGCTTTTTGAAGTGACCACCAAAATCAAGACGTAAAACGGCTATCTACGTCTGAGATGATGGAAATAGGTACTCCATGGGGTACTACGATCTCGTCCATGTAAATTCGAGTAATACTTTCCATTTGTTAATCTTCTCGAATGGGCAGAAAGTGTGAGTATTTTGTCAGTCTATCCACCACCACCCAAATAGAATTGTGTCCCTTTGTTGTCCTTGGAAACTTGGTAACAAAATCCAATGATATTTGCTCCCATTTCCATTGAGGTGTCTCTAGTTCCTGAAGCAAACCAGAGAGCTTTTGATATGCGGCCTTAACTTTGGAACAAGTTAAACATTTCCCAATATACAAGGCAATATCTTTCTTCATTCCAGGCCACCAATAGTATTCCTTTAGAGCCAAGTACATTTTGTCAGCTCTAGGGTGGATCGAGTATTGGGAATCATGGGCTTCCTTTTAAAATGAATTCCTGTAATTCGTTAACCTTTGGTATCCATACTCTATTTTTGAAGTATTTCACTCCATCCAACCGTGTTTCAAATCGTTGTTCTAGGCCGTGCAATGTTTCATGTTTCAAGTTCTCACTTTTTAGTGCTTCGCCTTGAGCAGAAAGGATCTTAGTCTTCAAACTGGTCTTAATAAGGACTTCGAAGGCGTGTGCTCTTAAGGGATTCACCATTTCCTTCCTACTCAGCGGATTGGCTACAACATTGGCCTTTCCTGGATGGTATTTAATTTCACAATCGTAGTCGTTGAAGAATTACACCCACCTCCTCTCTCTCATGTTAAGCACCTTCTGATCCAAGATATGTTGTAGGCTTTTGTGATTGGTATAAATAGTGCACTTAGTTCCATACAAGTAATGTCTCAAGATCAAAGGAAAAAATACCACCCCTCTTAATTCTAGGTCGTGGGTTGTGTAGTTTTTCTCATGAACCTTCAATTGCCTTGACACATATGCAATAACCTTGTCTTTCTGCATCAGTACGCAACCCAAACCTTGGTGTGACACATCACAATACACCGTGAAGTTATCCACACCATCTGGCAAAGCCAAAACTGGCACATTACACACTGATGTTTCAGCAATCGGAAGGCATCTTCCTATGGCTCTTCCTATACAAATTTCCTATCCTTATGGGTCAGAATAGTCAATCGTTGGGCTATTTTGGAGAATCTCTCAATAAAGCGCCTATAATAACCTGCCAATCCCATAAATTGTCGAATTTTCGTTGGGGATCTTAGGGCTTCCCTTTTCTTAATTGCTTCAACTTTGATGGGATCCATGTGCATTCCTTTTTCTCCAACCACATGACCAAGGAATCGTACTTCCCTGACCCAAAATTCACACTTAGAGAACTTTGCAAATAATTTCTGGTCTTTCAACAGTTCTAACAATAGCCTAAGATGTCGTTCATGCTGTTTTTGTCTGGGGGAATAGACTAGTATGTCGTCAATGAACACAATCACAAACTTGTCAAGGTACGACCTACAAATCCTATTCATAAGATCCACGAAGGCAGTTAGCGTGTTAGTTAGTCCAAAAGGAATAACTAAGAATTCATAGTGTCCATAACGGATACTAAAGGCAGTTTTAGGAACATCTTTATCACGTACACTTAATTGGTGGTAACTCGGTCGTAGATCAATCTTTAAAAAATACGAGGCACCTTGGAGTTGATCAAACAAATTGTCTATTCGAGGAAGGGGGTATCTGTTTTTTATATTCAGTTTGTTTAGTTCTCTATAATCGATGCAAATTCGCATCTATCCATCCTTCTTTTCCCAAATAAGACCGATGCGCCCCACGGCGAGGAACTTGGATGAATGAATCCATTTTCAAAAATTTCCTGAACTTGGCCCGAAAGTTCTTGCATTTTAGAGGGTTCCAAGCGGTAGGGTGCTTTAGCTACAGGTTCCGCTCCAAGAATTAGGTCAATTTGGAATTCGACTTGTCTTGCTGGCGGAAGTCCAGGAAATTCTTCTGGGAATACTCCATGTATTCTCGCACTATCGGAACATCCTGAATATGTTTTCTTCTAGATTTTTCTCCACTACATGAGCCAAGAATACAGGGTGCTTCTTCTTCATATATTTGCAAACCCTCATGCACGAGACTATCTTCAAGTTCTTTCCTGGTTTCTCTTCGTGCACTACAAGGGTTTCATTGTTTTAGAGGGGTATTCTGACAACATTCTCAAAGCATCCTATGTCAACTTGGTTCTTGGATAGTATGTCCATTCCAACCACTATGTCAATGCTTCTTAGTTCAATAGGAATAAGGTCAATACTAAAAAGTTTATCAATTAAGTTCAAGGTACAATTAGGAACTATCTCATTACCTTTCATTTCATGACCGTTAGCAACTTCAACTACATAGGCATGTTCCAATATTTTTGATTTCAAGTTGATTAGGGGTCTAAATTCATATGACACAACACTTTTATCTTCCCCAAAGTTAAATAATACTGATGCATAGTGGTTTTTAGGAGGAATGTACTGGTCACCACTTCTGGGTCATGGCAGGCCTCTTCTGCCTTGATCACAAATGCTCGCCCATGAGCCTGGCCTCCTGGATTTCCACGGTTTATGTGGCCGGCATGGTTCCTAGTATTTTTGTTGTTAGGGCCCTTATTCAGATTCGGTCAGGTATTCCTGAAGTGGTCCATACTCGCACATTCATAGCATGCGTTTTTACCATCCTTGTGATCTTTTTCTATCTTCCAATATTTTGCAGAATGTCCTTCTCGATTGCACTTGTGGAAAACGGGGCAAGCACCTTCATGATGATAGTTGCATATCTCACACTTAGGTTTAGGCCCTCAGTATTGCACATGTTCCTCTGTTTTAACCCTAAAGTTCATTGCCCTTTTCTTGTTATTGTCTGAGTTGTCATTTTTCTTCTTTCCCAATTGGTTCTCTGATTTTCTTTTGTTACTTGCATTGCTCATGGTCAATATCCAGGTCCTCACTTTATCATTCATGAGGCAGTGTGCTAGATCTATAGCGCTATGGATTGTGGTAGGATTTTCCGAAGTAACCATGCCTCAGATTTCTGGTGCTAAACCCCATATGTATCAATCGATCCTCTTGCTCTCTGGGGTGATAATGTGCGACACTAGTTCAACGAGTTTGTGAAAACGCACAGTGTAGCCTTCCACATTGGCTCCTACCATGGCATGGTTGCAGAAGTAAGATTCCATTTTCTGGATCTCATCCTTACGACAGTATTCCTTCTCGAGTAACTCTTTGAATTCCTCCCAAGCTAATTGGTTTGCTGCCTCCCTTCCACGGTTTCAGACTTGTGCATTCCACCATGTTAAGCCTCTGTCTTGGAGAAGGCAAGGGATATAAGGAACCTTGCAGTCACTTGAGCATTTTCTGATGTGGAGTACGATCTCTATTCCTTCTATCCATTTCAGTAATCCCACTGCACCCTCTGTCCATGAAACTCCTTGGTTTTGTAAGAAATGAAGTACTTATAGGTGCATCCCCTTGTTTCCACATTCCGATCCCCGCTTCCATCGGTGTTCTCAACAGGTGTAGGGCCTCCGCAGTTTTTCTGACTTGCGTTGACTCCTGCAGTGACTTCAGCCATAATGTTAGGGATAGTAGCCATTAGTTGTTGCGAAACCAATTGACCAATGTCAAGAGTGGCATTCTCAGGATGTGTTGGGCGTGAGCGTGTGTTTCTTCTTTGGGCCATGGTTCTATAATACACAAACAAAATTAAGGATGATTTAAAAGAAAATAACTTCAAGAAAAATTTCAAATCATCAAAACAATTTTTGGCTCATGAACAACAATGGTAGGGTGAAATAACATGGTGAGTGAAAATCATTAAGGTAAATTCCATTCGCAGTTTGAAAATAAAAGGTTTAACAAAGCGTATTTCTTGACACTTCAAGCTACAAAAGACACTTCAATAATTGTTCCAAAAGCCATAAACCAAAGGCAATACATCATAATTCATAAACCATAATCATAAAACATAAACCATGACACTTAGAATCAACCCTAAAAGAAAATCACCCAGAAAAGTGCCACTGCCAGTATCAATGCTAACCCTCCAACGATAGCACTAGGGATCATAGCTCTAATTGTCGTCCTCCTAGCAATGTATACATAATCAAACATCGCATCCACCACCTATGATAGGTCAGTAATGTTGTGATGATGACTGCGATGACTTCCATGATGTGTCGCTCCTGATAAGTCATCTCAGGTGTATGTATATAAGGCATCCCTATGACTGGGGTCAAGGCCGATGGGGCTCGAGACTCTCGTTCCTTGGTGCGAGAGGGGCTGGCATAGGTTCTGGTCGCTCGAACCTCAACACTTCTCTTAGCATTGATGCGCTCTTTCTTGCTATCCTCCTAAGGCGTAGTCCATAAAGAGTTGGTTGAGGTGTTGGCTGTCACGAAGGCTTGGGTATCGACGTGGCTGAAGTCTCCTAAGTTAGTGCCTGGATGCTTACTTCCTCTCCAGTCTCCGATCCCATAGATGAATTACTAGTCGGTTCGGTGCTCAAGTCGCGGTTGTCTTTCGGGCGTGTAGTGACGTAACCTGACTTATCTGTCGATACAAGTGCTGGAGAGCTAGTGTTTGACATAGCTAGGCGGTACCCGAGAAACTCTAATGTTTCGACGAGTTTTTAGCATCCTAGTGGATTTCTATTTTGTTTAATGCTTACATTTAACCTAGGGTGTTCATACCATTCACTATAACCACTTCCGGTGTTGCATTAGCTCTTCCTTAATTATACATAGGTGATCAGGTTATGTATAATTAACGTCTAGTAGTGCACTATCCGATTTAGTTATACCGAATGGTATGTTTTATTAACTCAATGGTTATAGTTTAGGCTTTCCCAAGGGAAAAAGGGAAAATCGGTATTCTCTATAACCTTAGGCTCTGATACCAAATCTGTCACAACCCGTTAAAGTGAAAACACAATGACTGAGAGGCTAAGGTCTCATCATAAAAGGTAAATAGGAGTACCAACCATAAACATTAAGTGTTTTAAGTTTACATCGCATACAAAACAAATACATTTAGTTCTCACAATACATATTTTAATACATAAAAAAAGCAACAACTTAAATCATATTGGTGTCTTATTAATTCACTGACCATTCCCTGAAAAGCATGCAAAAACAAGGGTTAATTATAAAATAGTTGGTGAGTTCACAGGTTTATAATAGTACATTATTTTAATAAGAAAATATAGTTTGTTCAATAAAAGTTCTAGTTCAGAAAATGTTGAATTCCATTGCATTTCGTTCACAACCAAGCCTAACGACCGTTCTTTCCCCATTCCATCATGTCCATGTTCCCATGATGTCAGTTCATGGAAATATGCACTCGTTGTTTTGGGCGAGTGCGGGTTGTCGACCTCAAATAATGCAATCCATAAGACCACCAGCTTGAATACGAGTTAATAGGTTGTAATTCGGTTCTCGGGGACTTAACATACAAAGTTCATAACATAGAGTTCATATCACAAAGTTCATAGAAAAAGTTCAATATACAACATTGTTCTAAGTTCAACAAGTTCACAAAACATATCTCAACAAGTTCATAAAACAAAGTTCATCAAGTTCATAAAGCAAGTTCAATGAGTTCATAAAATACTAGCATGCTTTCCACCCCAAAACATGAAAAATAATAAAAAGGGGGTTGTGAATACTCACAATGGAAAGTTTCTAGCTCGGGCTTCGTGGATTGTTGTTGACGAGTGCGATTACTAATCGCATCCTAAAGAACAAATAGTTTCTAGTGAGATATAATTTACTAAGCTATTTTCTAGGAGCTACGTATCTAACTAGTGGTGTCGTAAAAGTGCCCAAAGTGTGTACGATTCATTATCGGTAACATTAATTCATAATTGTGTTCAAATTTTCACGAAGGCATGGAAATAACTTTCAAAAATTAAAAAAATGGTTTTCTAGTTCTAACAATGGGCATTGGTGTCCAGAAATTTTGTAGACATTTTTGAAGGTCAATTGATATTTATTTGTAAATTAAACCCCAAATAATAGGGAAAATTCAAAATAAATGGTAAAAAGTTTCTAAAATTCTCAATTTAATTTTTACAGGTTCTCATAATGTTCCCAAGGTTGAGAAAAATATTGGTTAGGGTCTTTGAGTCAAATAACCCAAATTTGTAAATTTATGCTCCAATTTATGAAAAATATGGATAAAATACCAAACAACGTCCAAATCGTATGAAATTTGACATGGGTCTCTTACTCTGCGAATATGTTAACACTACAATTTTTCAGATTTCATCTCTTTTGAAAACAATTATTTTGAATTTATAGCCATTAAATCATTATTTTTATAGAAAAATAAGTAATGGGTTCTAGCCTTTAAGGTTTTACATATCATCACTTGTATATACGAAATTTCATAAAACAATTTGTTCAAAATATATTTAAAAGCAAAATAGGGGTTTTCAATCCAAAAACATTATGCAATGTTGCACAATATAATGCATGAGTTCTAGATGTAGCTGAAATTTCACGAATTTGTGTAGAAAATTATGTGGGGTTTTAATCCAAAAATGTTTAGGCATTATTTTTTGGGTATGTTAAGTTTCTAAAATATTTTTCCCGGATTTAAGGTGGGGTTTAAGACCCTTGATCATGTAAAGCAAAACCAATGATCACAGAAAAAGTCCTATTTGCGCAACTGTATTGTAAAAGTTATCAAAAATCATATTTTTAATGTTCTAGAGTAAGGCCAATTGGGTTCGAATTTTAACTCAAGCAACTAGCCCTCAGAAAAGGAATATCGTGATTTGGTTTAGTAATGACTGAGTTGTGACCATCCAAAGCTGAACAAAATATTCTAACAGAATGCATGTCATCCTTGGTTGCTTTGAGTGCCCCCTTATGGCCACTTTCACAAAGACAACATGAATACTTCTTTTATGGTTGAAGATAAACAACAATAAAATAGAGTTTACATAAGAAAAAGAAACTTTTAGGTTCACACATCCAAGCCATATATTTAGGGTTATTCCAAGCCCCTAAAAGTGGGTGTTTCATTCTTGTGATAGTGAACTCCTTGGAAGCACCAAATATTACACTACGATTGCACCACAAATCCGATTTCTAGCACATGCATGGAGTGAATAAGCATCCAAGATGTACTACAAATGGTTTAAATGATTTTTGTTATGTAAGAACACAAAAGAAATGAAGAAGAAGATGTAAAACTCGATTTTTGAAATCATATGAACATATGTGTATCTTTTCACTCTTAACATGGGTTTGCTCCCGGACTTTCACCATCTCAAGCACATGTAATGTGTTATGGTGAGAATCTACAAACACCAAGAGGAAAAACAAGGATATCTAGCCATAAAAGGGTATAGAATCCGGAAAGTAAAGAAGAGCCATGAAGAAGAGGAAGTAAAGTTGTAAAACCATAAGAATAGGTTGTATTGTTTACCTTGATTTCGACTTTGAGTGAAGAAAGAACACCTCAAGACCTTCAAGAATCCGAAATTAGGGAAGAAGATGTAGATTTTCGGATGGGTTTGAGAGGTTTTGGGAGTTGGAGAGTTTTCTTGAAGAATGAGAGAGACAATTGAGTGTAGAAAGGGCTCAAATGAGTAGTAATGATAAGTTTTAAGGCATGAGAGAGATGGAGGGCATATGGACGAATTTTGAATGGTAAGGAGGTGAGAGAATAATATTTTTCTTGGTATTGGATAAATCATTAAAAGCCTATCTTTAATTGTTATAAATCTAGGCTTTAAATTTTATAAAAACTCAAATATTATCATAATTTCGTAGGATTTTATTTATTGGGTTTTATTGAAATATTTACATTTGGAAATACGTTGCAAACTTATATTTCTTGAATTAATTTAGAAACATTTGGAAATAAGTTGTAAACTTTTATTTCTTGAATTAATTTAGAAAAATGATAACCTGTGATTTAATTTTTATAAAAATCAATTTCTTATATTTCAACATTTGTAAGAAGGGTTCATAATATATGGTTGTAGGACATTGAAATCCTTGGATTTTACTTTTGGTTCACATTTCAAATTATGAATTATATGAGTTTGTCATCAACTTTATAGTTAGTTCACATTATGATTTAATTTTGTTCATATTAGATTAGAATACTTAATCTTGTTAAGCATTAGATTGTTTCAATATGGAAATTTTAGGGTTGCTAACTTACCCTTGGGTTGTGGTCTATCGAACATAGTTTTGTGTTTAGACTTAAGGTTCAACTTTGGTACTTTACCACTTAGTTGGTTCATTCACATATCAATGTGATAATTCAATACAAGCTAAGTTACACTAATTATTCTGAGGGATCTATTAAGTTGCTAACCTAGTTCCACTTGTAACTCTAGACCCAAGTTAAGTGCACACAAGGAAATGATGAGGTTCTAGATGAGTCCTGACCTAAGTTTTGGTGGATGTCATAGATATATATACATATTTAGTAATACTTTTTACATAAGGGTTTTCTCATACTCATGCCAGTGAGTATGGTCCTTATCATACTCATGACATTGACTATAATCAAACCTTTTCACAATTAGCTATGATTAGATCAACATGGATATTATTTGTCATAACCAGATATTCATAATATGAGATATGACAGATAAATTTCAAGAAAATTAGTTTTTCTTTATAGAAATCTACGAGAGATATCAATATAGCTTAGCCTAGAGGTTTTCTTAATCTAAGTTATCCTAACAAAATTTGTAATGCATGAGATCCACTTATGGATATAAAGAAAACATCTCAAAATTGGAATCTTCATTCTAATATGAAGATACAAGGTATGCTTTATATCAAATTGAAGATGAAATTTGTGTTTATTAAGAACTAGTAGGAGCATAGTGATATTTCTAATCTTGTATGAATGAGACATACTCAATCATTTGAAAATACATTCCGACTATGCAAGGTAGTTTCACATTGACTCGGAAAGTATTTCTAAAATGAATGAGTTAGGAATGACAGAATATATACTTGGAATGTAAAATCTATAGACATAGATAAAGATGAATGTTAAAAGTTTTAAATTCTTTTGTATGAATTAACAATATCTTGAAAGAGGTCATGATACAAGATTATTTTGGAGGATTCTTGACATTGTCACATGACACTATCTTGAGTTTGTCTCAAAAGGATCTAGCACATAGATTTGAGCTAGAGGAAATGATTTATATTCTTTTTGCTTAGCAAATGAATCCATCATTTATGTCATATTATGCAAAATACTAGGTATGTAATCATATCAGGAGGTACCAATTTAATACATGGGTAAGTCACTCGATGACTATGAGAATATTCTAAGTCTACTTATGAAGAACTAAGAGAATGTATAGCACATACTCAGTTTAGAATAATATCTTTATGTAATGAGCTACATAAGATGCTAACTTCAAAACTGATAGATATAATTATGAATTATAATTGGATTATGATTTCATTATGCAATGAAGTGTAAGTTTTATTAGAGTGAGGTCCAATCAAAACATCATTGAACATTCTACTAAATAAGAATACACTAATTTTCAGAAGTTGAAATCAAATATGGTTGGATGAACTAGATCATTGAAAAACTAGG